TGTTCATATTTTGTCAGTAAAGCAAATTTCAACATCAGATTCCATCATAGTATAAATATATAGTTCAAGATATCAATCAATTATTAAAAGGAGTTCTACCTGGTGCAGCAGCTTTAAATTAAGTGTTTTGGTATCTTCTCTTCTTTCTCCTGTTCTTCTCTCAGTTAGTCAGCAGCTTTGATGGTCTTTTTAAATTAGAAATGATTAGTTTTACTTGTTGAATTTTGACTTTCAATTCTTTAGACAACCCAGAATATCTTTGCTCTTTAATTAATTGGCAAAACAGTTATAATACTGTAAAAAAAAAAAAGTTACAAAATATAAGATTGAGCAGATGGGCAAAATAATGTAAATGAACAGGATTCAAAGTTATCATTCAAACAGCAGCAGAAACATTTGAAGTTCTATCTGTGATGCATGAAACAACTTTCTCAATAGATATTTCTAGTTATGCAAAAAACTGTTGTTGAATACTCAATATACGAGATTCATTTATTTCTTTGATCTACTCAATATGATTAGATAATCTTCCCTGATAACTATAAAGTGAACTATAAGTCCAAGTAAGAATTAACATTGAAATTCTGTTCAAATTTCTGTTGTTGGGCTCATATAATGGGCAAAGTTTAAATATTTGTTTATGTACTTTTCCTTTTGCAATAGTGTAAGCTTAATCTATGTTGAATGTTAACTTTTTGTGAGGCTGTCAAGTTAAACATCCATTCAGAAATTGTACCAAATTTTTGAAATTGCCACTTTCTACAATATCAAATGGCAAACAATTTTCAACAAAAAAAATCTTATAGCATAAACTACAAGCCAACTAATGCTGTATGTTATAAGGCTAGATATCTGCTAACATACTACTAAATTATGAAACAATTTGGTACTAGAGGGAGATGTTAGGCACCATCTCTTAATAAATTTAATAATTATAATTTTTAATTAAATAATTTAGACTACTGGAAGAAAAGAATCAGTCCAGAGCGGGACTCAAACCTGCAACTCCTGCTTACCTTGCAGATGCATTGCCAATTACGCTACCTGGACCTCGATCCGATCTCTTCTTCCAGTATATATAACATTATGTTACAACCATAGATGATTATCGCAAACCCCAGCAAGGCATATACTGTAAGGTCTCGTTTTATGCGGTGGATATGTTCTACAGAAAAGCGCATATAAAAAATTCGCATAAATAAAAACTTTACTTGCCTTGAAAAAGTAGGGATACGTTCCGTAATTTTCTAAAATCACATAAAACCAAAACAACGAGTTAAAATTAACTTAAAACCGCATAAAAAAGTTTGCAGAAATTAAAAGAAATAGGCTGCTTAATAAATTACTTTGAATGTCTGAAAGAAATTCATATAAAAGCTTAAAATAAACTTGTATTCAAACTTAATTCAGTTTATTTTATTGAAAAGTAATACAAGGGGAATCCCCGAATTGCAAAAGCTTACTCTAAAAACAAATCACTGACATCTGGATGTGAAGAGTTAATTAAAACCCCTTTAGTTCCTCGCCCGAGTTAACTCGGGCAGGTTACATAGCGTTACATAAAACACAGTCCTTAAGGCCATTTTTGAAAATTTTTTTTGAATTTTTGGAATGTTTTTTAAGTCTCCAAATTTTTTAAAAATATTTAAAAATATACGGCCAGCTAGTGTTCACTCTACTTTAAACTCTTGTCCTCCCGTGACGTTTATGAGAATGCCCCGGGAAATCCAACTCCAGCTATGTTCAAGGTCATCCAGATGTGTAAACAATGACTCATTGGTGTAAAATTTCACAGAAGGGTGAGACAAAGGAAGTTAAACTTTGAAGCTTTTTCTCCAAAATTAACGCATTTCTTTCGTTTTTTTCAGTTTTAAGTATTTTTTATGTTTAATTACATTTATATCAAAAATTGCTAAGAACTAAAGCGATTAAGGTAGATCTAGCTGTCCTTTACATCCATAAACTTTATATGTCAGCAGAACAAATGGAGTGAGCTTTGAGCGTTCCACGATTTTTGAAAACTGTCTATATGCGGGCTTCCTAAACAAGCCTATATGTATGCTTGTCCAAGAAATTTTTGGATGAAATACAAACTGCACAACTTCAAAATCGCATAAAAATAATCCGCATAAAAAGAGACCTTACAGTATATAAACAAACAACAACATTACAACCCAATACATTATAAACTACAAGACAACTAATGCCATATGTTATCAGGCCAGATGCATCCCCAGCCAGCACTGTAATAAATGTCAATGGTTGTAGCATAATGTTATATATACTGGAAGAAGAGATCAGACCAGAGGTCCACGTAGCATAATTGGCAATGCATCTGCATGGTAAGCAGGAGTTGCAGGTTTGAGTCCTGTTCTGGGCTGATTCTTTTCTTCCAGTAGTCTAAATTATTTAATTAAAAATTATAATTATTAAATTTATTAAGAGATGGTGCTTAACATCTCCCTCTAGTACCAAATTGTTTCATAATTTAGTAGTATGTTAGCCGATGTCTAACCTGATAACATATGGCATTAGTTGGCTTGTAATTTATAATATATCGGATTGTAATGCTGTTGTTTGTCTTGTAGCATAGTCAAGAACTTCTTGCACTGGACACTATCAGAAGAATGGGGTTGTTTGGAAACCAAGACTATTTCCATTATCATTCTGGACTTTTCAAAACTGATGTTTTGCAGTAAGGTGTTTCCTGAATGACTATAAATTCTTCCATATATGGTGCATTTGACTCTGGCATTAAATGAAGCAATAATTTAATTATTGAATAAATAAACTTACATGTATACATAAGTATCAGAAGTTTCACTTACCTGTTCCTATCTATCTACTCTGATGAAACATTCCTATATCCAATTAATTTTTGTATTCTTTCCTTTTTACTTGTCTTTTTGCTATTAATCTGAATTTTACAAATCAGGCTAAAAATGCAATAAATTAAAATAAAAAATAAGTAAACTAAAACTTTAAAATATCTTGTTACACAGTTGTGAACACTAGCAAATTAGTGAATTATTGATTTTTGTGCAATAGCTATTAATCACTGATGTCTCAGAACAAGACTAGAATGTATTATATAAATGTCTGATATAGTTTTGATATCAGGTTGCCAGATTATTTTTCACTATTTCATTGTTAGATGACTGTAAAATTGCAAAAGATTGCTGCAGCTTAGGACCACACTTTGAACTTGTGATTTCTATTTTTCATCACATCACAAGAGCAAGATAAAACAAAGTTTTATACAAATTTCTTTAACAATCCACGAAAAACCCTTTTTTTACGAGTGTTATGTCACAAGTAACTTCCACAAGTACTTTCGACCTCCACCGAGGTCTGCTTCAGGTGGTGACTGGCCATGTTTCGACCCGATCGTCGTAACGATGTTGCCAACGATGTAAATAAATAAATGTGCGCGTCGGGTTTCACTCCTCTAACTGCCATTGCTCGAACTCCTTGAATAAATACTTCCACGCCAAGAGCAATGGCGGTTAGAGGGTGAAACCCGACGCGCACATTTATTTATTTACATCGTTGGCAACATCGTTACGACGGTCGGGTCGAAACACGGCCAGTCACCACCTGAAGCAGACCTCGGTGGAGGTCGAAAGTACTTGTGGAAGTTAATTGTGACATAACACTCGTAAAAAAAGGTTTTTTCATGGATTGTTATTATTCAACGCAGTGTTAAGTTGCTGGAAGTCGTTTATCTTGACAAATTTCTTTACATTTTCTTTTAAAATAAGACCATAAATCACAAAAATATTCTAAAATTATATAAAACTCCCAATTGCCTAATCCAAAATTTATGGTTTAAGCAATTGGGGCAGTTACACCTAAATTGGTTTAAAATTGCAAAAAATGGGAAATAATCACACAATCTAGCAATCCTGGGCAATGCTGTTAATGATACTTCTCAAAATATTGAGTATCAGGCACTTCTTTAAAGTATTGATATTGTAAAGTGTCAATGGTATCGATATCAGTCCATATTTAATGTAAACTTGGTAAAAATAGAAGTGATATTGTCATAAAATTTTTTTTTAAATTATGGCGCGAAGTCGAAATGGCTGTTTCTAAGGATAATCGATTTTTGTGAAGCAATAATCTGTATCCAAAATCACTTTCATGTTATTGTACATACAATTAAAGCTTCCTATTATTTAATTAAATAATTTATTTGTCAAAATAAATATGTAATTCAATATGTCTGNTATATTTGTTATATACGTTTTCATTTTCATCATTGATGATTATAAAATGAAAATATTGATGAACTCTGAAAAACATCTAATATGTCTTGCATCCTGCAATATTAAATATTCAGCCAAGATTTAACTCTCTGCAAAAATAAACAAGCACATCTGTCTCATTAATATACAAATTTGCTTTTGTCCTAATAAATGATAATAAGTAGTAAAAGTATTAGTATAACAAAGATATATTTGAAATTAAATTTCTTTGATTTTTTTATCAGTTAATATTTTATTTATTTATTTTATTTTTATGTATGTATGTATATATGTGGAATCTTGTAAAATATTCTCAGATAAAAGGAGTGTGTGAATGAAAAAAGTTTAAGAAGCCCTGCTCTATAATAATCATAGAAAATGTTAAATGTACAAAATTTTGTGGAAATGAAGAAAATAAATATACTCTGTAAATTATTTCATATATGTTTGATTAAAAAACAAAGCTTACATTTAGTTTTAATATATTTGTATTTAATTGATATTTTTAGAAGTATTATTTTAAACATACAAGACCAGAAAGACCTAGTGGTTTGAGAATATATGAATGCCATGTAGGAATAGCTTCAGAGGAACAAAAAATAGCAAGTTATGATAATTTCAGGATAAACGTTATCCCTCGAATAGCTAAACAAGGTATTAATTTAACTTATTCTAATGATGTGAAAAATATAAATTTTAGTTTTATGATCCAACAACTATGAATGTGATATAATAGAATTTTTTTTATTATAGTAAATGGAGAGCCTGCACCATTAGAATCTGATGAAGTAAAACATATCCGTAAAGAACTTCAAGTGATTAGAGATCATGTTAATCATTTACTTGATCGTCTTGAGCCAAGAACTATTTCTGTTAATACTGAGAAAGGTCATTTTTTTATTTTGTTATTAAATTTGTTATTTTAGAATTGAACTGTATTAAATATACTGGAAAAGTTTATTTTTTAAATGGAAAGGGCATGCCCAAGGCACCAAGATGATGGAGCACCAAAATTCCAAACTTGTTACATGGGTGAACTAATAAATTCATAGAAAACTGTCACATACAAGTATGAAAAATTATATTAATAAAAAATATTTTTATGATTTCTAAAATTATAACAGACTAATGAGTGCTTATTCAAAAGTTAATAAAAGTTATTCAAAATTATTTAAGTTTGTGGCACCTTTTGATTTGGCAACTGGAATAAGCCTGTTGCCAAATTCTTTGGCTTGATTCTGTATTTTAATAATCATCTATTTAATACTTTTATTAATAAATTAAAAACAGAAATTTGAAAGAATCAGAAAATTTAAAACATTTTGAATGTTAATGTTAAATTTTCTTAATAAATTAATGATAATGTCAAATACAGATAATTTGACAATATTTATTAAATCCTATAATGAAAGCATATACTGTATATACCATAATTATAGTGTAAATACAATACTACTTTGTATTTCAAACCATAAATTTGAGAGAAATTTGATCCAGAGCTTGAATGATGCTTCCATATTCAAACTGGGTGCACAGTGAAAAATTGCACTCACTGTGTAAACATCATCTGTTGTGTACCTAAGTTGTGTTTTCCGTGATTTTTCACTTTATATATGTTGTGTTTAGTTATGTATAACCCCTACCTATTAACCATGATATCCAAAAAGTGTGTAGAAACAATGAAGTCTGAGAGGAAGGATGTAGTATGAATGATTGAAGTGAAAAAGGAACTTATTGCAAAGCATAAAAGTGCTACTACACATGTCACTGATCCTGGTGACCATGTTTAAGATGCCAAAGTCAACAATGTGCACCATTCTTAAGCATAAGGAAATGATAAAATCAGCAAATGTGCTAAAGGTATGACAACATTGACCTCTATGAGATTGCATGTTATTGAGATGGAAAAATGCCTCATGGTGTGGATAAATTCATAGCAACTGGCATATCAAGTAGCTGAATAATGACTTTAAGAAATGGGACATTGCAACTCCTCACTAAGATACAGTAAATTCAATTTTTATTTTATTATTTTATACAGTATATAAATATTTTATTTATTGTTTTTATATGTTAATTTTTTATATAGGGCATTTAATTGTGTTTCTTTTACCTTAAATTAGGTATATTTACTGTTTATTGAAATGGGTATTGTTTAGGGGCTGCAAACAGATTAATTCACTTTCCATTATTTCTAATGGGAAAAATTGATTCAGACTTAAACAATTCAGAATTTGAATAATAACCTTCTGGAATGAATTAAATTTGAAGTATAAGGTAATTTTTTAATTTTAATTAAAAAAATTGCCTTATANAATGATGCTTCCATATTCAAACTGGGTGCACAGTGAAAAATTGCACTCACTGTGTAAACATCATCTGTTGTGTACCTAAGTTGTGTTTTCCGTGATTTTTCACTTTATATATGTTGTGTTTAGTTATGTATAACCCCTACCTATTAACCATGATATCCAAAAAGTGTGTAGAAACAATGAAGTCTGAGAGGAAGGATGTAGTATGAATGATTGAAGTGAAAAAGGAACTTATTGCAAAGCATAAAAGTGCTACTACACATGTCACTGATCCTGGTGACCATGTTTAAGATGCCAAAGTCAACAATGTGCACCATTCTTAAGCATAAGGAAATGATAAAATCAGCAAATGTGCTAAAGGTATGACAACATTGACCTCTATGAGATTGCATGTTATTGAGATGGAAAAATGCCTCATGGTGTGGATAAATTCATAGCAACTGGCATATCAAGTAGCTGAATAATGACTTTAAGAAATGGGACATTGCAACTCCTCACTAAGATACAGTAAATTCAATTTTTATTTTATTATTTTATACAGTATATAAATATTTTATTTATTGTTTTTATATGTTAATTTTTTATATAGGGCATTTAATTGTGTTTCTTTTACCTTAAATTAGGTATATTTACTGTTTATTGAAATGGGTATTGTTTAGGGGCTGCAAACAGATTAATTCACTTTCCATTATTTCTAATGGGAAAAATTGATTCAGACTTAAACAATTCAGAATTTGAATAATAACCTTCTGGAATGAATTAAATTTGAAGTATAAGGTAATTTTTTAATTTTAATTAAAAAAATTGCCTTATACTTTAATAATTTAATTTTAATTAAATTTTATTTTGCAATTATAATTCAATACATATTTAATATTTTTTATTATTTGTTTTCTTGTTCTGATGTGTTTCTAGCAATGTACATTTATATTTTCTTCAATGTATATTTTTTATATTATCATTGTTGTTATTTCATTTATTTAAATATTTGATTTAGTGTAATATTCAATATTGCATTTGAGGCTGAAAAAGGAAAAAATATCTAGCAATATTAATAATTGTGCATTGCTTTATTTCAGTCTGCCTTTGATGATCTAACCACAACATCTTGCATTACTTTATGATGATCTCATATTTATGTTGCATTTTTTAAAGAATATTAATTATATTTATATATTAATGAAATTACTATAAATAATATGTTAAAAATTGATAAATAACAGCATTTTTATTTTGTATTACCATTGGTCTTTCTTTAAGATAATGTGGGAAAAATTAATAAAAAGTAAAAAAATTAAAAATAGGCAGGTTACAATTAAGTTAATTGTCAAATGGACATTATGATAGTATGTATTGAACCTTAATGATTTGAGATTTTGATATTTCAGATTTTTCTTGTAAAATACAATGTTGTCTTTAAATAATTATAATTATATATACAGTAGAACCTCGATTATCCGGACTAATTGGGGATGAAGGTAGTCCGGATAAGGGAAAATCCGGATAATCGAAACAAATACTTTAATTTGTCTTTTAATGATAATACAACACGTTTTCTTTGCGATGACATATCGGCAATATTAAAAGTAAATACTGTATTTAAATCGTGATCAAATTTTCAAGAAACAAACGTTCATATTGAATTTGGACTACTACTGACCAACGCTAACAGACTACCTATTGTTTAAAAGGCCCTCTGGTGGCGCAAGAAGACAGATTTTATAAAATAAAAAGCAGTTGAAACTGCATTTTTATGAATAAAAATTTGACAAACTATTTATCGTTTTATGACGAGTAAAATTTTTTCGTCGCGTTCGCGGCTTTTAAGTAATGCATAAACCTTCGAGGCGCGAGGCCCTTCGGACCGCGAGGCATAGGCGGTGGCCCACGTCGTCCATGCCTTACGCCGCCCTTGGTCATAGAAATGATGTAATTTGAATATAAATTATTTATAAATACGTATGTCAAGTTATATTTTTATTACGACGTAAAATATATTTAAGAGTTTACGACCACTGTGCTGGGTGAGACGTTATTGAAACAAAAAAAGTTATGCATTCCATCACGTACATAAACAGTGTCGTAATTCGCCAAGTGCAGATCAGCAAATTCGTAAAATTTTTGTTTATTTTGAACAATCCGGATAATCGAAAATCCGGATAATGGAGGTCCGGATAATGGAGGTTCTACTGTATATGCATGCATGACATAATATGAGAAGGCAAAATTAACTATTGGATCAGAACTTAGCTAACTAATTTCATAGAAATGTTTTTTGGAAGAAAAGTAACATTTGAATTAGAGAGCAGATTAAACCTCCTTTCTCTGTTCAACACTTCCTCTACCTACTTATAGGAGGGGGATCATTCCCTTAATATCCCTTCTGCCTATATATATTGAGAAACACAAAAATTTAAATACTGAAATTTACTGATATTCTTAGAAAAGCAAATACAAGATGAAAGTCAAAATGAGAATTATTGGAATGCTTAAATTGTAAAAGATTGAAAGCTATAAGCTGAAAAGAATTACAGTAGAGCATTGTTTATATGAAAGCCGATCAACTGAAACGTCGGTTAACTGCCGCATACTAGCCTAATTCTGTTCGGCGACTTCTCGACCTTTGGTTGATCATACGTCGTTACCCTTGCTATCAAAAGTTTGTCTGCTTGGGGTGTCTTGTTTGTAGTCACGAGCCGTGCAGTTTGGACTCACTGGATGCCTTCCACTTAGGAAGGTATCCAGTGAGTCTAAACTGCACAATCTCTCTTCCAGTGATCCATTTTTCCACAGACATAACAACTAACCTTAGGAGGTTGTTCAACTGCACTCCGTGTCATGGGAATAATTTTCCTGTCAATTCTTTCTTTGAGTCCTGATGCTATCTAGCTTCCCCGCTGTTGATTGTCGGCTCACTACTTGTCACTTCCGCAAACTTTTCTATGAATTTGGCTAATTTCGCAGGCTTGCTCCATCCTTTCCTTTCCTGTAATATCATGTATTTCCTTGCGTCGTGAGGTAAGAGCATCTTTAGGTGGTCTGCTACTGTTAGCTTAACGAGTTCTTCTACCGTCCCCACCTCTCTACTATCTACATAGTACCTATAAAGGTCTTCCAGATGCAATGTGAATTGAGGCCATGTCTCTTCCGGATAGTGTTCTGCCCGCCTAAATCCCCTTAAATATTCCACAGGTGAGAGTCTCAACTCTTTGAGAATAAACACTTTTAAGGAAGGGTAGTGTCTGACTTTATCTACCAACAATTTTGTTAGAGCTGCTTTACATTTTTTGGATAGTATGCTCAGTACTATTTGTCCCTGTAATTCTACTGGGACCTCGTAGGTCTCCAAAATCACTTTGACCATACAAAACCACGATGGTACTGCCTCCTGTTCTTCTGGCATTTTGGGAAGTGTCCCCTTTATCCTACAAGCATAATCATCAAAATTTGCTTTGCGAATATTGTCCTCTGCATCCCAGGTCTCTTTTTGTATCTTATCCCACTCTAACTCTATTTCTGCCTTCCTCGCCTCGGACTCGATTTCTGCTGTCCTCACCTTGGCCTCAGACTCGATTT